CATCCACCATTTGGCATTGGCTTGGAGGAGGTTCAGATGTTGTAGTGCTCAGGCGTGTGAACTTCTGGGATTGTACATGCTGGGAACATAATCCAGAGACACCAGTTGACCTCCCTTTGTCCCCAGGGGAGCATATGTGCTTGGCTCACTGTCCGCATGGACATTAGTGAAGCATTTGTGCAGCACAAGCAAGGGTTCCAGAGCATCCTAAAGCAATGTTAATTTTTGTGCAGGGCTTCATAGCTTGGGTATCAGCTTTACAGCTATGTCATTTGTGTTTCACAAAGGTGTGCTTAATATACCCATTTTACAGGTGGGGAAACTGAGCCCCAGAGAATCTTTTATTGAGCCATAACTGTGTTGGGTGTTGTTTGCTTTCTCTTTAATCTCTATGAGGGATTTGAAGATTTAGAATCTGAGGCTTAGGGATGTCAAAGGATTTGTTCAAGGTCACACCGTGTATTAATTGGGCTAAGAGTGAAGATGCTCTAACAGAGACCTTAAAATACTGGCACTAAAGCCAGAACCAAGTGGGCGGCTCTCTCATGTAACAGTTTACTCCAGAAAGCACATGCATGGAGCAGGCCACACGCAGCTCTGCCCACTGAGTGATGCAGCTGCCTGAGTTCCTTCTCATTTTGTCATTAGAGTCTTGCCTCGTCTACTTGGTTGAAGGTGTTTTGCCATCACCACACATGAGTTCCAGTCCATGGGAGAGGGGAAAAAAGGGAATGCAAGGCAAGCAATTTCCCTTTATAATGTCTTGGTGAGACTATAGCCACACCAGGCTGCAAAGAAGCCTGGGAAAGGCTGGGTGACCATTTGCCCACCCTGGACTCTGCAAGTAGAGGCGTTCCACTAATCCTTGTCTAGCCATCTCTGATACACACAGTGGGTGGTGGAGCTGGGGTTTGAATGCTGGCTGGCTGTTTTTCCTTAACTCCATTGATCTTGGGGAAGAAGGCAAATTCCTTCCCTGACTTCTGGTCCTCTCTACCATCCCAACATTTTGGCCCATAGAGTCAGACACCTGTTGCCTTTAGTAGAACTGGGCACTCAGTGTGAGTCAAACACAGAATGCATTTCATGTATTGTTTCAGTTAGTCTTCAAGGAGACAGCAAATCTTTGTATAAGGATCTCATAAAGGGTCAGTTGATCTGAAATACTCAGTGACCCTGGGCATGTGGATGTGACAGTCCAGCTTCTCAGCTCCTCCCTGCTATCATCATTGCTTGAGAGCTTGGGGTCTGTATATGTCTTTCAAAATTATGGGACTTTCAGATGATGGGCTGTTATCCAGCCATCATGAGGAGCTAGACATACCTTTATATCCTGATATGGAAGCAAGGACCACCTGGCAATACTGGTAAATGGGAAAAGAAAAGGCAGAATACTGCCTACAGCACGCTACAGATAGATAAGTATAGCCTACTTGCCTCTCACAGTGAGAAGACCTCTTATGGAATACCCAAACAGCTAATAACAGTGATACCCTCCCAGAGAATGACATGCTGGGAGACCAGGAGTGGGAGAAACACTTATTCATTCTATACACATTTCCTATTTTTTAAAGTAAAAATAAAAACAGAAAGTAGACCTTGGGATGAGGAGATAGGTAGGTGACCCTGGTTGATGATCCTGAATCTCTTTGGAGCTCCAGTTTCCCGATTTGTGAGATGGGGAGTAAAAATCATGGCACAGATCTGCGTCACATGAGAATCACATGCAGGAATGGCCACAAAGAGCTTCCCTAGGGCAGGAGTATTGTTTGTGCGTGGTGAGTGTTACTTAGCATTATTACAGCTCCTTCACAGTGGAGATGGGGAGTGGCTGTTCTGTTTGTCTCATGGAAACATGGTTCAGGTCCTGGCATTCTTTTTGGCTCTAGGAGGAACCTCCTGCCGAGAGAACATGGTCCTTCATTCCAGCTGTCTTTGGAAAGTGCTCTGTTGGGAAATAGCAAGAGGAAATTGGCAAGGTGCCCAAATACTGATTTTCGTGGTTCAGGGGACCTGAGAAAGGATTGTTCATCACTGGACAGCCTTGGCCCTGCTGGCATCTGGATGCCGGGTAGTCAATAACCCCTTCTGACCTTGGAAACACGGAGGCTTAGATAAAGAGATTAGAGGAACTCAGAGGTCATTACTCCAAGCCTCTGTATTTTTAAAAATTTATGGGCAGCTAGCATACCAGGCTCCTCTGTCCATGGGATTCTCTAGGCAAGAATACTGGAGTGTGGGTTGCCATGCCCTCCTCCAAGGGATCTTCCCGACCCAGGGATCAAGCCTGTATCTCTTAGGTCTTCTGCATTGGCAGTTGGGTTCTTTACCACTAATGCCTTATTATTATTATTAAATTGTTTTTATTTATTATTGTTTTTAATTATTTATTTTTGGTTGTGCCGGGTCTTCATTGCTGCACCTGAGCTTTCTCTAGTTGCTGCATGCACTGGCTACTCTTCGTTGAGGCACATGGACTTCCCCACACAGTGGCTTCTCTTGTTGTGGAGAACAGGCTCTATCTAGGTGCATGGACTTCAGTAGTTGCAGCTCATGGCCTCTGGAGTATGGACTCAGTAGTTGTGGCACAGTGGCTTAGATGTTCCATGGCATGTGGAATCTTCCTGGACTGAGGATGGAAATAATGTCTCTTGCGTTGGCAGGTGGATCCACCGTACCACTAGGGAAGTCCTTAATTTATTTTTAATTGGAGGATAATTGCTTTACAATATTGTGTTGCTTTCTGCCATACTATAACGTGAATCAACCTTAAGTATGCATAGATCTTCTCCCTCTTGAACCTGCCTCCCCCACACCATCCCACCCCTCTTGGTGGTCACAGAGCTCTGCAAGCCCCTGTATTTTTGATGGGTGTGTAAGAGAGGGCTGAGAGGAGCTGAGTCTGCACCATAGCTTAGTGACCATGCCTGTCCAGGAGTGCTGTTTTGAGCCCCATCTCAGGTTTTCCTCTAAAGTTCCTAGGGATGCTCTCAGATTAAACCTACCATGTTAACCAATACTGAGCTGTGTGCTTTACAGGAGGTTTTACTTATTCATTCCCTCTGCAGACTGATATTGAGCATCTGTTGCATATCAGGCCAGTGCAGGACACCCGAGAGGTACAAAGATGAGTTAAACTCATCCCTTCTCTGAGGTACTAACCAAGGGCTGGGAATGGCAGGGAGAAGAGTAAGTTCCACAAGAGAGGGAAAGAATAAAGTCCTGGAAGTTCAGAGGAGCGAGGGTTCACGTGAGAACCAGAGGATCAGAGGGTGCTGTATGTTCATCGAGTGTCATTCATTCATTCCAGAAACAGTCTCTGGAGGAAGGATGGATATAAATCCTTATTGCCTCCTCCTTGTCTGCCAGATACAGTGCTTCAAGATTTCACATACATTATCTGATGTAAAATTATAAACAGACAATGTAGAAGGAAGATTATAAACTTGATTATGCAACAAATCTGAATTTAAATCCTAGTACTGACATTCTTTAGCTGTGGGACTTTTGTAAAAATTTAATTAATGGCTCTCAACCTGCTTCCTTACCTGTCAAATGGGGTGATTCATCAAAGAATTATCCTGAGGATTGAAAGAGATGGTGTTTGTAAACCATTTCACATATGGCCTGGCACAAAGGAGGCTCTCAGTAAAAATGCTGGCTCTCTTCCCTTCCTGCATCTTCGAGAACTTTTTTTTTTGAGAACTTATTTTTTTAAGAGACAAATGATTGCTTTTTATGTTTTCTAGATTCAGGCTCTGTTCTCCGAAAAGGGAGCGCTAATCCAGTATAACACTTTTGACACCTTACTTCCCTAATCTTTCAGGATGAAAGGATGGGTCTCTTCCCCTTCATTTTACCAAAGCCATCCTACTGTGAACTGGGGGCTACATCAAAGGAAGTTCTGCACTGGGAAGTGTGACTGCACTCTCCAAATTTCCATCCCAAATTTCAAAAGGATTTGGGTTTCTGTTTTCTCTGGAGCTGGAAGGCCAAAGCTCCAGCACTGCATGGAAGATCGTGCCAGGTCGGTCTCAGGCCCCGAAGGTCTCTCCTACTCAGGGTACCCATCTGGGGTACTGTCATGGGTTGAGTGTGCCTTCCCCAAAGGATATGTGAAATCTCATGTACCTTCTACTTCTTCTTATTTGGAGATAGGATCATTGCATATGGAATTAGTTAAAATGAGATCACACAATAATAGAGTGGGCCCTTAATATAACATGACTGGTGTCCTTAGAAGATGACCACATGATGAAAACATCATGTGGCAACAGAGACAGAGGCTGGAGCCGAGGATGGACAGCCACCATTAGAAACTCAGAAGAGGCGAGGAAGGATTCTCCCTTACAGGTTTCAGAGGTAGAGTGCTGCTGTTGACACCTTGATTTTTTGACGTCTGACCTCTGAAACTGTGAGACAATACATTTCTGTTGTTTTAAGCCACCCAGTTTGTGATACTTCATTATGGCAGCCCGGGGACACTAATGAGGAGTTAAATGAGTCAACATTTCATCTCCATCTTAAAAGCTCAGGAACTGGAGCCCCCTACACCTTCCCAATTCACTAGCACCATCACTTTGGTATAGGACGTTATGGTAGGGGAAGTGAGTTTATCCAAGGAATGAGGGAACGTGTGGCTGTGGCTCAGAGAAGCGGTGTGAATCACACACAGCCCCATGGCTAGCTGGGAGCAGATTCTGCTCCCCAGTCTATCTCTGAAGGACTGGTCAGCTCTACTAGGACAATAACATAGCCACTAGTTAGCTTCCTGCTTAAGACTTGGGGCTTCAGAGTGTCTAATCCTCAGTCTCCCCACTCGTTGCTTTTTATCTGGTCTTAAAAACAAACACCCAATAAATGCCAGTTGGATTTATTATATAACAGTACAATCAGGCTGTTATTAATGATTATTTTCTTATATCATGTGTAGTTTACATACATTGCTTCATTTAATTCTCGTAGTCCTTGAGAAGAATGCTTTTATTCCAGATTTGCCGATGAGGAGGCTGAGGCGCAGAGAGGTCGAACATGTTGCCCACTTCACCAAAGAGGAGAATGTGGCGTCGGCCCGCACATCAGCTGCGCAGCCTGCTGTGGCCCTTCGGGGCTGCTCTCCGGATACTGCCGTGCAAACTGCGCTTTCACGGTCTCAGTCAGCCACGCATTGCAGGATGGCCTTAGGCCCCCAACCTCCTGACTCAGCTGTACTGTCTGGCTCTGCTTGGAGGGTCAGCTTTCCTCCATTATTATTTTTTTCTTTGAAAATTGCTCCCTTGCTAAAATATAATTTTTTTCTTAATATATATATTTTATTGAAGTATCGTTGACTTACAGTGTTTCATGGCAAGGTGCACAGCGGGGTGATTCAGTTATACATATACACATATATAATTTTTCAGATTATTTTCCAATTTAGGTTATTACAAGATATTGACTATAGTTTCCTGGGCTATACAGTAAAACTTTGTTCTTTGTTGCATATGTATTTTTTTTAAATTAGAAATCTAGCATTCTACTCATACTAAGTCAAACAAATGGAGTCAAAATGTCATATATTTTTAAGTCAGGTAAGAATTCATAAGTTTTCTAAAATATATATATTATACTTAGTATTTATATATATGTATACCAAAGCTTTTAAATAAAGTTTTTTTAAAAATATCATTTTGAGTATATAAAATCACAACTGTCATACGAATATAACACAAATGAATGTGAAATATTTTCTTTTAACTTATTAATTTATGAAGAGAGCAATAAGAGATTAAATGTGAACTTGGCTTATAGAGACTTAGATTCTTTTTCAGACAAAATCCATTTGGATCATTATGAGCAAGAATTATTTGCACTGACCTGAACAGGAAACATTTGCTTTATGATTAGTTTTCTACAAGTGAAGTTTTATCCCCCACAGAGTTGTCAGATAGCTTAGTCAATCAAACACAGTCAAAGGGGCATAGCATCTGATGATCCTGGGAACACCAGACGATGCTCAGAATTCAAATGAAAGAACACCCAGGAAGCTCTTTTGCCTATTTCTAGTCTTTGATAACATTTCCTGATATTCTTTTAATGTAAGAAACACAAAAGAGTTTTATCCATGAAATATATAGAAAACTTATAAATAAGTAAGGAAAAGACAAAGGATCCAAAAGAAAAACGGGCAATGGATGCTGAATCCGTAATTTAAAAAATATCCAATAAAAATGAAAAGATGCTCCACCTCATTAGTGGAGCATCAAAGAAATGCAAATTGAAACTGCCATTAGATACTATTTCACACTTATCAGGTAAAATTGGTGAAAATTTAAAAATCGAGTATTAGCAAGAATGTGGACTCCCAGGAATTCTCATACACTGGAGGTAGGAGTTTGAATTAGTTAGATACCTTTGGAAGGAATTTTGCCAAAAGCTAGTTAAGTTGAAGATGTGTATATCCTATGACAAGAGTACTGACATCATCCAGAGAAAATCCTGTGCGTGTCCATACAGAGACGTGTACGAAAATGGTCATGGCAATCTTACCTGTAATAGCAGATCACTAGAAATAACCTAAATGTCCATCATGAGGAGAATAGAGAAGATAAATGGTGGTGTATTTCTGTATTCATACAATGTAATACTATATAGCATAAAACAAATGAAGTTGAGTTATATACAGCAATATAGATATATCTCAAAAACGATGTTGAGTGAAAGAAGCAAGTTGTAGAAGAATCAGAGCAACTTGTTAAAGCTTTAAAACATGTGAAAACAATATTTACTTTGACAAGGACATATGTGGTAAAAATGTAAAACAGAATGACATATACAAACTTCAGGGCAGTGATTTCCTCTGGGATGCAGAGGAGGGAATGAGATTAGGGAGGGTGACATCAACAGTTTCTGAAATGCTTTAATTTTTAATATGAGTGAAGGATATGAAGATGTTCATTATACTGTCTTTTGATATTTTTATATGCTTGAAATAATAATAATAACAACAATACTTGCATTTCATTTCCCTATGGTTTAAAAAATGAAAAAACACAGCTTTCCCCTCACAGTTTGAAAAAAATTGCATTTCTCAAAAAAAAAAAAAAAAAGATTCACTTCTCTAAAGAACCTCTAAACAACCTGATAAAGAAACAAAAGCAATTAGTTGATTCTTTTTGAGAGTCCAATGGATGCATTATTCCTAGGAATTTGGATCTTAATTTGAGTTACAGAGGAAGTCACTGAAAGGTTGTTAGCTGAGGGGTGATCTCATTCTTGGCTTGCATGGATTTTTGGAACTGGTCTCTTTCTTTCTTTCCTATCCTCATCTACCTACCCCAGCTTCAGTTTTTCTTCTCATAACTTCACACTTCTGGTAGGTACATGCTGCTTCTTCACACCATAGTGTAGTTGCTAATGGTTTCCTTTACTTATGATATCTTTTCCCCTCTTTCTTTCTGGCTAACCAACCCACAGCTCTTCCTTCCAGAGCCACCTCAGGCAACGCTTTCTCTCCCTTAGGAAGTTTTCCTTGTTCTCTTAAGATGAGTTAGGTTTGCCTCTGAATTCCCAGAGTTTGTTTGGATATTTGTGTCAAAACCTCATTTTATCATTGTCTTTCCAACTCTCAGCAAGGCGCCTTAGTCACAAGAAAATGTTTAGGAAAGAGAAGTGCTGTTTGATCAAGAAGGTGTAAACTGGGTGTTTGCTCAAACCACACAACAACCCCCCCGCCCCCCCAAACTACTGGTTTCTAATATTGGCTCACTGGTCATAAAGTAACATTTCAGTGTGAATTAGCTCCTCTCAGCCTTTATGAGACTTGGCTAAGATCTTGGAAAAGAGACTCTGTAAAGGGGGTTGTTGGGGTGGAGGAGAGGAGTGAAGCTCAGAAGGAGATCAGGGTGCAGGATCCAGCCCTAAGAAACTTCTGATCCTCACTCAGCGTGCTGGAGATGGTGTGACTAAGAACACACGTCTTTTTACTCCAAATCAGTGCTCCTTCTTTTGTTCTCCCTTCTGTGGCTTGAGAAAACAGCTGCTCTGTATCATCTTATTCAAATCTCTTCAAATACTTGAAACAGGAAATGACTCTCCAGTTCTGGGGTAGTGAACCTGGGTCAGCTGCAGCAGGTGGCTTGGAAGAACCTATGAGGCACCGGAGGATGGATGAGCCTCAGGAAAGCAATATTAAACTTGAACAGGGTCTCAGAAAGGTTTCTGTATTTGAATCAAGTTATTGCAAGTTTTGTTCCAAAGGTCTGGCGACTCTTCTAAACGTACTCACACATCTGGATATTGGACTGAATCTCAGTAGATCCATCCTTGAGGATCATCTACGGACAGACTTTAGTGCAAAAAAGGAAAGGAATGATGAATGATTACATAGATAATGCTTCATCATTAGAAGTCAGAATAGGACAGAGGCTGTATACCAAGATAAGGCTTCCACATCGTCAGGAGAAATATGGATGTTTGTACTTAATTATCTTTGAATCCCAAGGCTAAACCAAGGCCTGAGATACGGCAAGTTTTCACCAAGGTTTGCTGAATGAAGGGAAGAGCTATGGAGAAATTTCATGACTGGAGAAAGCCTTACCCATCAGATTTCATACATCTGATTTGGAAGTATGTTGGTGACAAAATAATAAATAAGAGTTCCTGCAAGAGCTTTTGGCATCAAACTGACTGGAAACATGCCAGATCCACATGATCAACTGGATTAAAACTGAGGAAATGTTCAACAGCATTTTTAATGTTTAAGAATTAGGGTGTTTAGGCTATGATGGTGGCTTTCCAGCAGTGCCTAATTTAATCATCCTTGTTTCCCCATAGAAATACTCTCAAGCACACAATAAGACCTAAAGTTGCAATAGTCTGGAAGGAATGACCTCCATGAATAATTGGCAGGTCTCTGGGAGGGCTTTTTCCTCTGACCACATCATTGATGGGATGAGGTTGAGAAATAACTCACTTTGACTTAAAAAATAAAACCACAGCACCAGGCTGGAATGTCTACCCCTGTCCTAGAGTGTCTAGCCTTCCATTACTTGGAAGCAGCCTTCTAAAGCAGGCGGCTCATTTCCTGCTGTTCCCACTGTCCACGCTGGCTCTTTCTTCATCCATTTGGTAACTATTACTCCCAGTGATAGACCATCCTGGGAAGTTGGCAGTGGGAAGAGCACAGGAGGGGCATTTTAAGAATGCAGCACCCTGGGAAAAAAGCTTAATTGGGGTTCGACATTTGGACTTTTACAGATTTTTCTCTTTTTATTATTTTATTTCCCCTTGCAAGCATATGGGGTCACAAAGAGTCGGACATGACTTAGTGACTGAACAACAACAACAATATTATTTAATGTTTATATCTAACTACAGAGCAGAGAGGTGTCTGAGTATAATGTCGGTAGCTAAAGTTTTTATAACCCTCTAGAATTTGAAAGATAATTTCAGACTATTTAATTTGCCATCACCCCCAACAAACCCAGGTATAAGTACTTATTTCCCCCTTTTTGGACCCCAGATAGCCATCATTCTCTCAACCACCCTGTGAAGGAAGGGACTGTTATGATCTCTGCTTTATAAGTGAGGAGAATGAGGCTTAGGAATGTCAGTAACATAGTTGTTATGAACTGTGTCCTCTCACCAAATTCATATGCTGAAGCTCTAATTCCCAAAGTGATGTTATTAGGAAGTGGGGTCTTTGGGATATAATTAGGTTTAGATTAGCCCATAATAATGGGGCCCCATGATGGGATTAGTGCCCTTGTAGGGAGAGAGAGAGACATGAATGTATGGACATCACAAGCAGCAGTCATCTGCAAGCCAGCAAGAGGGTCTTCACCAGGACAAAACCCTGCTGGTCTCTTAATTTTAGACTTCTCAGCCCCCAGAACAGTGAGAAATTAATGTTTGCTTCTAAAGCCACTCAGTCGGTGGCATTTTGTTAGAATAGCCTGGACTGAGACAGTGATAAAGTCACATAGCCATGTGAGGAGAAGAGCTGGGTTATGAAAGACTTGGCATGTAAAGACCAAGGATCTTCCAAAGCAAAGCAGAATTGTGGGCTGCTTTATGAGGTTTGTATTAAAAGTAGATTAAAAATGAAGAAACACTAAAACAAAATGAAAAAAAATCACATTTTAAATGGTTATATTTAACAGATTGGGCTTCCCTGTATAGCTCAGCTGGTAAAGAATCCACCTGCAATGCTGGAGGCCCTGGTTCGATTCCGGGGTCAGGAAGATCTGCTGGAGATGGGATAGGCTACCCACTCCAGTATTCTTGGGCTTACTTGGTAGCTCAGCTGTTAAGGAATCCTCCTGCAATGTGGGAGACCTAGGTTCAATGC